ATAGGGAAGACCGGTTTAGTTTAAAACAAAATAAACACAGGAGAAGAATTGCCTATCGGCCAGCGGCCAAAAAGACTGCCGGTAGTACGTGAAAAGGAAGTGGAAACCATGATTGAGGAAATGGTGAAGGATGGTGTTATTGAACCATCATCTAGTCCATGGTGTTCACCCGTGGTGCTGGTAAAGAAGAAGGACGGCAGCATGCAGTTTTGTGTTGAATACCGCCGTCTGAACGACGTTACAAAGGACAGCTATACCTTGCCAAGAATTGATGACACACTGGACATGCTTACAGGAGTTAAGTGGTTTAGCACGCTGAATCTAAAAAGTAGCTACTGGCAAGTTGAAATTGACCCTAAGGACAATAAGAAAACTGCGTTATCGACGGGAAAGCGATATATAGCGATGTATATGTGGCAATTTAAAGTAATGCCGTTTGGATTTTGCTATGCTCCAGCAATGTTTGAAAGGCTGATGGAACGTGTACTTACCGGGCTAATTGGCGATGCCTGTCTGGTCTACTTGGATGACATCATCGTCGTAGGCCGAACGTTTGAGGAACAACTCCAAAACTTGGATTGGCCGGTTTCAAAAGATATCCAAAGATATCCGATTATCGGCGATTTGTGAAGAACTTTGCAGATATAGCCAAACCTCTGCACAAGCTAACCGAGGAGAAGCGACATTTCTGCTGGGATGAAAGTTGCGACATAGCATTTCAGGAGCTCAAAGACCGTCTTTGCAAAACACCTATTTTGGGGTACCCTGATGCAGGCAAGGAATTTATAGTTGACATAGACGCAAGTGATGCAGGACTTGACGGTGTGTTGTCTCAACGGAATGGTGATCGAGAGGTTGTGATAGAGTTTTACTTCAGCAAGTCGTTGTCAAAACCGGAAAGGAACTATTGTGTCACAAGATGCGAATTGCTAGCTGTGGTAAAGTCGTTGCAGCATTTTAGAAAATATCTTCTGGGGCGTTTCACTTACGAACTGACCATGCTGCACTAAAATGGCTATTGCAGTTCAAAAATCCAGAAGGACAAGTGGAGAGGTGGATTGAGATGAACTACTGCAGGAATACGACTTTGTAATCGAGCATCGAAGCGGGAAATCTCATCTCATGGCAACGCAGATAGATGCATTGTCAAGAAGACCTTGTCCTGAAGATTTCAAGCATTGTACTAGGCAAGAGGGTGAGGAAGTGGTATCTGTGAGGATGCTCAGGACAGACCACCTCAGCAACGAGTGGAAGGACAGCTTACATCATGCAATGCACAGCAGGAAGATCCGGACATCAAGCCGATTCTGGAATGGATGAAGGCCAGTGCTCCCAATCCCAAGTGGAGCGACGTCTCGGCGATGAGTTCGACCACTAAAACATATTGTGCCCAATAAAAAAAGGACAGGTTGCTGCTTCGTAGTAGTTTGTAGTGCGTTCGAGTTCTGTGCCGTAAATGGGAAAATCGTCGGGGTAAATGGTTGTCCCTAAAGCTAAAGTACCGGTTGTTCTACCGCTGTACCATAATGATTGTTCAGGAGGCCATCTGGGAGTTAAACAAACTCTACTGAAGTTCCGAGAACGGTTTTACTGGGTCCACTGTCGAAACGATGCCGAGGACTGGTGTCGCAAATGTACAAGTTGTGCGGCTGTAAAGGGACCTCAGACTCGTAGTAGAGGTGCATTGAAGTTGTACAATGTTGGTGCACCATGGGAGAGAAATAGCCCACGTGGCGGGGCCGTTTCCGGAAAGTGAAAGTGGTAACAAGTATTTCATGGTTGTGATGTATTACTTCACTAAGTGACCAGAGTCTTCGCCATTCCAAATCAAGAAGCTTCAACAGTTGCAGATAAACTAGTTCAGGAAGTCTTCTGTCGTTTTGGAGTACCTTTAGAAATTCACAGCGATCAAGGAAGGAATTTTGAGTCTCAAATAATCCAGGAAACTTGCTGAGTTATGAGTATTCACAAAACAAGAACGACTTCTTACCACCCGCAATCTGATGGAATGGTGGAACGATTTAATCAGATGTTGGAGAGGTACCTAGCAAAAGTTGTAGACAATCGGCAACGAGATTGGGACAAGTACATACAACCGTTCTTGTTGTCATATCGAAGCGTTGGACTGTTCACGAAAGTATATCAGTGACACCAGCTTTCGCAAACTTTGGAAGAGAATTATGGCTGCCTGCAGACGTGATCACCGGATACCACCTCGTCACAGTTTCCACGAGCTTCTCATTGATATCGTCCGCTGCATTGCAATCTTCTAGGCACTGAAAGGGGTTTTGTAACTCCAGTTTGTAACTCGAGCTGAAAGGTTTCGGCATTTTTGGATTAGAGCATGAGGGGGACGGAGCGTTGACTTCATTAGACGAGACCTCTCCAACTTGACGTTTAGGTTCAGTGTGCCTCTAAACATTCGATGATCGCCCTCTTGGCTCCTCTGACCATTGTCTAATCCGGAGTACGGTGCCACTCACGCTCCGGTTGCGTACTGCTGGTTGCCGCCGTGTTTGGCATTATAGATCAGCAGATTGGGACAAGGTGCGGTTTTTTTTACATCCTACCTCTCTCTTTGCGTCCAACTCGACCCTTGATGACGGGGGAACACACCGCCGACCATCCCGCGGAGTGAGTGCTTCATGCAGGATGTCCTGTTTACCCAACGCTCAGTGCGCAGAGCACTCTTATCCCTGGACGTCAAGTTGAGTGGGCCGGATGGCGTCCCTCCTATTGTGCTGAAGACGTGTGCTCCGGTGTTGGCACCGGTTTTAACGCATCTTTTCCAGTACTCCTACTCCCTAAGCGTAGTCCCGAAATCATGGAAGGCAGCCCTCGTGCACCCGATCCCTAAAAAAGGTAACCGTTATCTGATCCGGCCAACTATAGGCCTATCGCTATCACCTCCTTGTTCTCTAAAATACCTAATGGAATCCATTATTAACAGCCAGCTCATGCGGTACCTTGAGGATCGCCAGCTGATTAGTTACCGCCAGTACGGTTTCCGTCGCGGTCGCTCGGCTGGTGATCGTCTGGGTTACCTAACTCATAAATGGGCGGAGACAGTAGAGTCCAAAGGGGAGGCGTAAGCCGTTAGTTTAGACATAGCGAAGACCTTTGATCAGGTTTGACACAAAGTACTTCTTACGTAGCTTCCTTCCTATGGGCTTCCCGAGAAATTTTGCGATTTGGTCACCAGTTTTCTTGCGGATCGTAACATTATGGTCGTAGTAGACGGTGCATGCTCCCGATTACAAGCCCATTAACGCTGGTGTTCCACAAGGCTGCGTGCTATCATCAACGCTGTTTCTTCGGCATATCAATGACATGTTACAAACCGGTAACATTCATTGCTTTGCATACAACAGCACTGGTGATGCTTTATACACCGGCCGTGCCAATATTTTCCGGGAAAACGTCGCAGAGTATCAGGACAGACCTGTGTCTGAAGTCGAAACTTTGTTGAACAAAGTCTCAGACTGGGGGCGACTAAATCTAGTCCAGTTTAATCTCCAGAAGACACGAGTTTTCGCGTATACTGCTAAAAAGAACCCCTTCGTCGTATCTCCTCAGTTTCAAGGCGCTCCCCTTGTTGCCTCAGCTAGTATCGGAATCCTCGGCGTCAACATATCGAGTGAAGTGCAGTTTCGTGGTCACTTGGAAGAGGAGACTAAATTGGTCTCTAAAAAGCTTGGCGTGCTCAGCAGAGCGGGACAGTACTTCATGCTGGCTCACCGCCTGCAACTTTACAAGGCGCAGGTTCGGCCGCACATAGAATACAGTTTTCCCGTGCCAGCTCCTTCCATTTGATCGCATCCGACGCAGAGCAGTTCGAATCGTCGGCGACCGAGCTCTTTCCTATCGGCTTGACTCTCTGGCACTGCGAAGAGATGTTGCATCTCGTTGCGTTTTTACCGTATCTACCACGGGGAGTGCTCTGAAGAATTATTCGGATTAATTCCAGCCGCATAATTTCACCATCGCACATCGCGACAAAACTCGCGAAACCATCTGGATGACTGGCGGTCCACCACTGTGCAATTTAAAAGAAGTTTTCTTCCTCGCACATCTTCCTTGTGAAATCGACTACCACCTGAGATTTTCCCGAACCGATACGACTCGAGGTCCCTAACCTTCAAGAGGAGCCTACTCCTTTTGAAAAGGCCGGCAACGCATCTGCAATTTCCCCTGGTGTTGCAGTTGTTCATGGACGGTTGTAATCACTTACCATCAGGTGAGCCGTAGACTCGTTTGCTCCCTCTCCTATATAAAAAAATTATTTTTATCATACCTTGATCAAAAGTTCGTATTTTGACCCCACTTTTAGGGACTTAAGTTCCACATTGCTTCCCGACTCAATGACTTATTAATTTAGTACGCGTTCGTCAAATTTCTAGCTCTATTGTTTTTAAACGTCAAAGTATATGTCATGATACACTTTAAGACACACTCATTTCGATCAAGATATACTAAAAAATAGTATATGCACAAAGGGAGGAAAGTATGACATCACAACCCGCGTTCTCATCACCCTCGCCTTTTGGATAATATACACTTAATACTATAATCACTCGCTGTCTTTGAATTGCGGAAAATTTTAGTTTCCTTAAAGACAAGTCCATGGCGCAGTGGCTTGGCATTTAGTTTATTACGTCTCACGTATATTAGTACGTCCTTACGGGTGACAACGCATCTGCATTTTGATTCGTAATCGAGGATAGATATAGATGTCTATGGGCCGCAGCAACCACTTACCATCATGTGGACTGTGTGCTCATTTGTCACCCATTCTTATACAAAGAAACAAGTACTTGTATTGAATACAAATAATTGTTAAGGGGCTGGATGTTTGTCCTTGTGAAATTTATGTAAGTCGACTGCCCCCAAAACACAGAAGAAAATCCTAGTGTGGTGATAATATTTAGAAAAACTGTACACCAAAATAAAACGCAAAACGCCAGACTATTGGTTTATTAAGCTTAAACAGGTGGTTGTGTTTAGTAGAAGCCCTCGTCTTCATCGTGGTGGTGGCGCGCGGGCACGTCCCAGGGCTCGGGCGCGGCGGCTAGCAGCGCGGCGGGCGCCTCCCCTCCACGCACGCGCAGCGCGTACGCGGCCCCCTCCACCTTCTCCACGTTACGCCGCGTCGTGCCTAGCTTGCGCACTAACTCGCGCCCGCACCCGCACACGCCTGCACCGACACAACAGAACACAACTCAGTAAACGAAATGTAGAATATGAAGCATCAAAACACTTCTATGGTAGGGCAGACAAGACTATGTGGAGTCTACCTATCTTATCTATAATACTCGCTCATTCTTCAGTCCGGTAAGTAAGCCAAAGTCCAAAGTAATGCAATCAAGTCAAGCCAACCCGAATTTATTGTTCCAGGTCTGATGTTTTTAACATGTAATTTATGCATGTAAAATGCTTCCACACTATGTAAGACAATGCTAATCCTATACCTTTAAACGAGCAATTCTTGTATATATAATCGGAATCTCGGAAACGGCTCTAACGATTTTCATAAAATTTTGTGTCCAGGGGTTTTCGGGGGCAATAAATCGATCTAGCTAGGATTTTTTTTTAGAAAATGTCGGTTTGTCCGTGTTTTTAGGGAATGAAAAACTGCTATAATATAAAAAGGTAAATTTTGACACTTTATTAATGATGGTAATAGCTCAAGTGGATATCGGGCCGTCGTGAAATCGTAGTGCCCTACTTTGCGTCCTGTCTTTTTTTTCAAGTTCCCTTCTTTTGTGAGAAAATCTATTATTTCTAGCCCTTTTTTAGTATTTTTTTTAAAATACGAAAATTTAAATAAACTAACTGCACTAAAGATTTTTTATTCAAATAACCAGTTCAGTATTTTTTTATGTCAATAAGATCAAAAAATGTTATTCATGTTTCATCAGTATGTAATTTGTATTTAAATGTAATTTAAAAAAAAAACAAGCAAAGCTCCAAAATCCAGGTACTTTGATTTATTTTTGAAAAAAGATGAAGTGAGAATTAAGTAAAACTATTACCTAAAAAGCCTGTATACAGCTCTCTGACATTCTGACAACAGTTAAAGCATTCCTCACTTTCTCCACTGGATATACTATTGATAGCTCTCCTCATTAATTCACCAGTCAGGTCAGCTAAGCCAAGCATATAATCACTTTGTGTCAGCATGGTCACAACAGTCCTCTCAGGTTCATCCTTAGCTATATCCTCAACTGTATATATAAACTCATTCTGTACTTCGCGCCAGGTTATTATAGACTGTCTTTCCATTAAAGAGCACAGTGTTCGTGCCTCAATAAACTCCTGAAGCCTGCGGTAACAGCATGGGAATGTAAGTACGCTGGAACATTTTCCAGCTCTAACCCTATGCTCTTGATTGGGCCTTTAACCAACTTCTGCAGTCTTTCATTTGCTTCTGAGACAGCTTTTTCACATGCTTCTTTGCTAAAATTAACAAAGTATGTACAATATAGGTAAATATAAAATATATTGGGTGGTAGGACTTTGTTCTGACCAGGAGTCAGTCTGAACAGGTACCACCCTCATGTATTTTTGCCACCAAACAGTAATGAACAGCTATGTTCTGGTCCGAAGGGTATTGAGAGCCAGTATAATTAGAGGCTGTGAGGTGTTCCATCTTATTCCTCAGAGGTGACAATGCACCTCTAGACTTCTTTAGTTAGTTGCAAGTGTGCTGCAGTAGCTATTTACTATCAGGTGGACTATAAGTTCGATTGTCACTTATCTAATATATAAAAATTAATGTTTGTTTGTTCATATTTTATGTGCTGCCATTTCATCAGATTGCACAAAAATTTTGTCAACTTATTGCTTGCACTTGAGGGAAGGTTATAAGTATAATAATAATAATAACTCTTTTATTTCAGACATAGAATCCATATAAGTTGTTAGTAATACATTGCGCACCTTAAATACTAATGTTAGTTCCTTAAATATGTGTAATCACTTTTTAACATATTGTTCCAATAATTTAGCATATGCCCGTCACATGTATAGTACAATTAACTTACAGTATGTGACGTGCATATCATTCTGTATAGTTCTGCGAAGAAGTTCTAACTTCAATAATGTTTGGAGCAGAGTCGCAAGACGCTAACTAATATAATGAGAGAAATATTGGCCAATTTTTGAGTAAATTTATCCCAGATGTGCTCCTTATTTATTTAAAGTTATATATCATTCAACATCAAAGAATGTATTTTCATTGCGAATTAAACAATATAAGTCTTCCAAATTAAAAATTATATTTTTACAACTATTAATTATTCTGTGGCAGCAATTCGCCTGGTACCAGCTAATGTTATATTTAAAAAAAAAGTAACAGCATATTAGATTATACTTCCGGGTACAGGCTTTCTCTCATTTCTGAGAGATGAGCCATGCTACTTCAGTGCATGTTGGCAGACTTTACTTGCGTTTATTTCCAGGCATGCAGGTTCCCTCAAAATGTAGTCGTTTATTCAAAAATATTTACTAAAGAAGGGTTCTTCACAATGAAGAAAGCAATATTAAATTCATAAGTATATATTTTGTTTATAAGTATAAACTCACGTAATAGCAGAGTGTAATAAAAAAATTATTCTTTTGCTTTCAATGGTAATATCCCTGGATAATTTAACCAAGCGTTCGTGGCGATCCTGGCGAGTGTTAAGTTTCAAAGCAGCTGTCTTGTACATAGCCAGTATCGGGCTATCAGCTGCCAACGATACAGCAGTTTCTCGGTCAACCGAAGAAAGCGTGTGCTGATTGTGATGGCGGTTATTTCGATATTTACCTAAAAAAATTGGATGAAAACAAACACAATATTTTTTTAATTATTATTTAATTATAAATGAATACTCCCCGCATAAAAAACCATAATTACCTCTTCCAGACATGTTACAATTAATCTTTAATACTGTTTATAACAAAGTACAAACACAAACACCAAAAACAAAACAGTTATTTATTTTTTTCTTTGGACCAGTGATTGTTGTTGTTTTTATTTTCGCTCGAGAGATCAGGCCGATCAGGCAAAGGAACTCAGGGTTGCCAGATGACAATTTTTTTTTCTCGTACCAGGGTTGCTAAATATCTCGTAATTTCAACAGATAATCTCGTAAAAGCATAAAGGGAGATGCCCATTTTCGGCCATGGAACTCCCAACAACATGCATTTGTTAAAAAAATATATCTTTATTTATGGTTATTAATCGCGATATTCATTTATCCTAAAAAGATGGGAATATGTTTTTACCTTTATATTATATTTATTTTTTACCTTTATATTTTTTACCTTCATGTTTCAGTGTCAATCCCCGTTCAATATAGCTCTTAGTAAGAGAGACACACAAATATAGCAAAACATTAGTGTAAGAAGGACAACAACAAAAGAATATTATGAACGGGAATTCCCCACTCAAAATTGTCAAGTTTCATTTAGTGATGAGGTAGTGCATTTAGTGATGCGCCGAGTCGATCGTTTTGTGTTGGTTGGTTAATGATAAGAAAAAGTAAATTAATTAGCATATTTACTACCACTACTAAATAAACTAACTTTTTGGCTGATATAGGTATGCGAAAGAAGTCGTCATTGTTAAAATCTCGTAAAAAGTGTACGAGATTTTTGTTAATATTGAATCTCGTACAGACCCTCTAAATCTCGTAATGGTACGAGATTTCTCGTACGTCTGGCAACCCTGAAGGAACTAAGCCATACAGCCTTGTCTTTTTTTTAAATTGGTATATGTAGAATTTTGAAGTGTAAAGGTCGGAACCAAGTCTTATTTTTCTTCTTTCCATCTCTTCAAAATCCATAAAGGCCGAAGCCAAGTCTTTTCTTTAATTCTTCATATTTTCAAAAACCACAAAGGCTAAATCCAAGTCTTCTTTATATTATAATCTTTATCCTCTCAGCAGTCCGGGCCAAAATAGCCGCTTTGGCGCATCTGTCAAACCCTAAACGAGTGTTATATTGCCTACGTGGCGCGTGTCATTAAAATGGCAATATCTTAATATTTATGTATGGGAACTATATAATATGATATGTTGTTAGAATTATTGTTAAATAAGCTAATAGAATATGTGTAAATGTGTACGTTCACCCTTTTGGTATGTTATAAATTTGGTGGTAAAATTGCTAGAAGCGATTTTTTTCTAGTTTGTTGAATATAAAATGTAATCATTAAAAAAATTAAGCAATTATTTCAATAAATATTTACTTCATTTACTATACGATAACACACTTTACAATAATGAATAAAAAAAAACACAACTCTACGTACAGTTTTTTCACACCACAAGCTCTACAATAATGTGGGCCACTTAAGATAACCCGAAACAGGCACAAAAAAAGGCACATGTTGTACTTCAATATCGACGACACCTGAGGCACAATGGGCTATAAATCTTAACTTATGCTATAGTTTGGTCTTTGTTCTTAATATAAACAGTTTCAAATATTACAACTATTCAGTTATTAAGAAATGAACGAGTTGTAACAAACACTTGAAAAAGTGACCCTAAAAAAATGCTTTCAAACTTTTGCATTTGTAACGAACAATTTTGTAATTTATTTACATGTGAATGTACATTCCTAAATATAATAACATTTCCTAAGTTAAAAACAAAACAAATAAGGCATCTTTTATACAAAATTATGTTAGAAATCATCAACTAAAAGTTACACATTCACTACAAAAAGCACCAAGTATGACGTAGTACCCAGCTATGCTAGTATGGATACTTTCTGTGGTGACTTCTTTAATAATTGTAATCATGAACATAAAATTAAAATGAAATACAAATTAGTTATTTTTCTTTGCTTTTTATATTTTTAATTAACATTTGAATGTTATTATAAAAAATGTTTGACAATTCTTTTTGCCAAAATAAAGATTTATATTTTTGTTATTTAGATTTTTTTTTTATTTTACTTAATTTGAAGTGACACTAGCCTAGTGATAGCTTGCGTGCGAGATCCATAATAAAGTTTAAGCAATGCACGCGTTAGCTTGCAACTGGATCAGGGCATGCATGCCGCCACGGTGTGCTGCCCTGTTACGGCGGCCAAAACCATAGTGGAGGGCCGAAGGCTGCTGGTGGGCTGGGTCTCAGCGCAGGTTAAGCTGCTGGAGCCCAGACCTCTGAGGTGCTATCGCTGTCTCGTGGGGCACCACGTATCAGTGAGATGCGCCTCGGAGATTGACCGCAGTCGCCTGTGCTTCCGCTGCTGTCAGCCCGGACACATATCGGCAACCTGCTGCGCCACGCCGCACTGTGATGCATGTGCGGCGACCGGCAAGCCAGCCGATCACCGGGCCGGAAGCAAGGCCTGCGTGCCACCCGCCAAGGCCAAGGCCGCGGGTAGGGTAGGGGCCAAAGCCGCCACCGCCTCTGTGGCCTCCGCCGCAGCCACAACTGCCACCGACACCGCTGTCACTGTCGCCGCCGCCGCCGCCGCGACACCGACGCCCGCAGAGGGGCCCCCGTGGAGGAAGCTGAAATGGAATGCCTATAACGGCCCCATTAAGCTTCCTCCATGCGAATATCAACCACTGCGCCTGCGCTCAGGATCTGTTGCTCCAGAGCATGGCGCAGTGGTCGATTAACATCGCTGTGGTCGCTAAGCCGTATTTTGTCTGGCCTAGGGAGGACTGGGTGGCGGACCTTAACGGCTCAGTGGCCATCATCTCTTCGGCCGCCGCCGGTACCCCGACCCTTGAAGGTATCAGGAGGGGTCAGGGGTGCGTAGCAGCACGGTTCGGGGAGTTCGTCGTTGTGGGGGTGTACTTCTCCCCGAACCGATCTCTCGCCGAGCTCCACAACTCTCTTGCAGAGCTGAGAGCAGTCGTCGTCGGAAGTTATCCCCTCCCCGTACTTGTCCTCGGGGACTTCAATGCCAAGAACTTGGCTTGGGGTTCTCGTCGTACAGATGTGCGGGGTAGGATGGTGGAAGACTGGGCTCTGGAGACAGGCCTGGTCGTCCTAAATCGGGGTTCTGTCCCCACGTGTGTGCGGATGCGGGGCGAGTCGGTGGTGGACATCTCGTTCGCTAGCCCCGCTCTGTCGCCGCGTGCCATTGACTGGCGTGTCATGGAGGGGGTGGAGACCTACTCCGACCACCGGTACATCCGGTTTGATGTCTCCACCCAGCCCTCGAGCGCGCCAGTCCAACAGGCCCCGAGTGGTCCGCGTTGGGCGCTGAAGCAGCTGGACCGGGAGCTCCTCCTGGAAGCCTCGATCGTGCAGGCCTGGGTGTCATCACCAGACAGGCCTGCCGACGTCAATGATGAGGCAGGGTGGTTCCAGGAGGCCATGTCCGAGATATGTGACGTGGCAATGCCCCGCGTCCGGCCAGGAAGCGCCCGGCGTCAGGTGTATTGGTGGTCGCGTGAGCTGACGTGTCTGCGCGAGGCGTGTGTCGCCGCGCGGCACCTGTACACCAGGCATCGCAGGCTCCGCATTCGTCCACCGAATGCGGCAGCCATTGAGGCGGAGCTGTACGAGGGATACAGAGCGGCGAAGAACGCCCTCCGGGAGGCTGTCCTGCGGGCCCGGGATCGGGCCCGTGAGGAGATACTGGAGACTCTCAACAGAGATCCGTGGGGGCGCCCTTACAAGATGGTGCGGGATAAACTCCGCACCTGGGCCCCCCGCTGACGCAAAGTCTCCGGCCCCAGCTCGTGGAGGACGTGGTGAGCGCTCTGTTCCCTGCGCGACGGGAACATCCGCCCCCGCCTATGGCTCCGCCACCTGCGGTGCCGGAAGCGGACCACCAGGACGACGACGACGACATCCCGGAAGGGACCGGGGTAGACCTGAGAGTGGCGGTACGTAGGCTCAAGGCCAGGAATACCGCCCCAGGACCCGATGGCTTGCCTGGCAAAGCCTGGGATCTGGCCTCGGAGGCTCTCGGGCCCCGACTGGAGGGGCTCCTAAGCGCATGCTTGGAGAGAGGCCAATTCCCGCTTCGTTGGAAGACGGGGAAGCTGGTCCTCATTCGGAAGCCGGGGCGCCCTGCGGACTCTCCGTCCGCATACCGGCCCGTGGTGCTGCTCGACGAGGTGGGCAAGCTCTTTGAAAGAGTCATTGCAAACCGCCTCGCCGAGCACCTTGCGGGGACGGGGCCGGATCTTGCGGAAACCAAACTGGTGTTCCAGGCGCTCTACGGTGGAAGCCATCATGCGCGTGAAAGCCCTCACGACGGGGGATACAGTGGCCAGAGGGGGGTTGTCTTGGCGGTGTCTCTCGACATCGCCAACGCCTTCAACTCCATGCCCTGGAGCTGCATTAGGGAGGCACTCCGGTATCACCGGGTGCCGACCTATCTCCGTTGTATAGTCGGGGACTATCTGACGGACAGGGCCGTCATCTACCCCGGTCGCAACGGTGAGTGGAACCGGCGAGAGATGTCGTGCGGTGTCCCACAGGGTTCGGTTCTGGGGCCACCTCTGTGGAACATCGGTTATGACTGGGTGCTGCGCGCCGACCTCCCTACCGGCGTCAGCGTAATTTGCTACGCTGACGACACGCTGGTACTGGCACAAGGGGGGTCGTACGAGGCGGCGGCGGAAACTATGACACGCGGGGTTGCGATAGTCGTTGAGAGGATTCGGCAACTGGGTCTCGAGGTGGCTCTGCACAAGTCCGAGGCCATGCACTTCCATGGTCCTCGGAACAGGCCACCACCGGGATCCTCGATAATGGTAGGAGGGGTATCCATCGGCGTCGAGTCGACGCTGAAGTACCTAGGACTCGTCCTCGACGGCCGATGGAACTTCGTTGAGCACTTCCGACGTTTGGCTCCCAAACTGGAACGGACCGGGGCTGCCTTCAGGCGACTCCTGCCGAACCTGGGGGGGCCAAACGCCTCCTGCCGGAGGTTCTACGCGGGGATC